TATATTGCATAAACCATCGTTCATTTTGAATTCGTTCAATTTTTATAATTTTTTTATATTGTTTTTTCATGGCTTCATCGAATCGGTTAAAAACAGATTTATATTCATCAGTATCTTTAGATACAATAAGTCTTATTTTATTTTCTTTTGATATTTGCCATGTTGCAGGTAAATGAAATTCCATTGATGTATGAAAATCTATAGAAAGAATCACAAATAAATACATAACGAAAAAAAAAACATCTATGAATATATATATGTTCTAGTTTTACTTGATGAAAAAAGTTGTTTACAAAATTCATCATAAATATTTTGTTGATTAGATTCAATAATAAATTTAACTAAACATGATAATTTTCTTGTTTGTATTTGTTTTTTTACTTCTCTAATCATTGTTTTAACAACAATATCAACAGAACAAGCATGTTTTCCACATCCAATAGCTGGAAATGCAATTGAAGTATAATTACATGATATAACATTTTGCATAACGTTCGATATGAGATCAATTATTGATTGTCGAAGAATCTCAGGATCTTTATTTGGTTTCCATTTGATAAAAAAAATTTCTTTACAAGGTAATTGACCTGATGGAGTTGAAATAATTAATGAATTTGAATTATCTTCATATGCTTGATTATAAGCATGTTCAACTTCATATCCTGCAGCTTTTATTAAAGCTTGTCTTAAATTTTCTGATGATGAACTTCCTATAATAACATCGACCTATGTTATATTTAACAAGAAAAAAGAAAGACACAGAAACAGAGTGTAAATAATATTTTAAATTAATAAAAATAATTACATTTTGTTCTATAATATCTCCTTGTTCAATTTCAATTTTTCCTTCTCCAATCATTATTGAGATTGATTGTGATGTTGAAGTTTGTTGTGATTGAAATATATTAAGTTGTTTTTGAAATTCATTATAAATATCTATTCTATTTGGTTGAATTATAAATAAAATTTTCATCGAATATTCAATTAACTGTTCATGAATTTCTTCAATAAATGTTTCAGCAATAAGTTGAATTGAACATCCATATTCACCACAACCAATAGCTGGAAATGCAATACTTTTATAATTTTCATTTATTGCTTTTTTCTATAACATTTGAAACTAATTTTCGTATTGATTGACAAAGTATATTAGGATCAGAATTAGGTTCCCATAGAACAAAATAAATTGCTTTTGATGGAAGTCTACCATCTGTAGTAACACTAACAATACAACTTTTATGAATTTCTTTTATTTTCATTTTAAATAATTTTCGTAGAGAATCTCCACCTGCTACAAGAACAGTTTCAACTAAATTTTTTGATAAAGAACATATTACAATAACATCACTCTAAATATTTTATAATCAATATTATATTTTTTTGTAAAGATAAACTTACTTGTTCATTTATGATATTATCTTGAATAATATTTACTGAAATCTTCGATTTCTTTTCACGTATTGATTGCTACAAAAAAGAAAATAAATCATTATAATCAAATAAAAATGGATTAGTAGTTTTAAAGAGCATTTTTCACTTTGTGAATTGTTGAATGTTTGCCAAAGATCACAAACGAGTTATCGCTATATCAAACTATCAAAACTATTGTTCATAGGTATTTTTTTGGCATTTGTAACCTTGTTATTTCATTATGTCATCATCCTATTATGTTGAGATTATTGATGTAATCAAAAATCTATATACAAAGTATTTCATTTGATAAAGACTTCTGGTTTTATTTTGAATTTTAAAGTAATGAAGTGAGAAAACATGACAGATTCTGGTATTTTCATCTCATATCTAATAATGAGTTTAACAGATTTATACAATCAAATGAAAGTTCTACGTGACACATTAGACTGATTTTCAATTCACGCATATACTGTTGGATTCGAATGAATTCGTCAAAATATTCTCGAATAATAAGGTGTTGCATCAACATTTGATTTTCAACAAGAGTCAGGTCGGCAACTCTGATATAGATTTTTGTTTTTATTGCTAATCAAGGATATAGAAATAATTAGTTACTACTCGACAGTTTTAGAGTTTCCAACTTCTGATATGAAAAAACAAAAATAAAAACTATTCGCCTATCAATAAAATTAAATTTGCTTGTCATTTCATTTATTAATATTTTCTATTTTAGAAATAAGTACATTCTTTCCCGAGATATAATAATCTCTTTAATATTAATATTTTAGGTTTATCGATTACTAAACAAATAATAAATTCTATTCGACAGATAATTATAAAAATTCTAACCTGATCTTGAGAATTCACAATTTTTGTGTCAAAACTACTTTCATATTTCAAGTCATATTGATTCATTTCATCTTTTGAAACAGTTTCATTAAGTTTCATTTGATTTAAATACGATACAGTAAGTAATATTAAATCTAAATCAGTAGGTAATTGAAAATTATCAACAAGTGTTAATTTATTATTATTGAGTATTATTTTTGGTATCCATCTTAAAAAACCTTGAATTGTATTTTGTTGATTAGTAAATGTAAAATTTTCAAGATCAAATATAATTTTTTCATTGTTAATAAAATTTAAATTGATAGTTATATATTTTTGTCGATAATTCATTGCTCTTTCCAATAAAAAATTAATTTTTATATTAGCATTATACCATGAATTAAGTTGTATTTTATTTTTTGTCATATCAAATATTTCTATTGATGTTGAATTATTTGTTATACCTATTGGATGTTTAATAAACATAATTTGCCATTGTGAGTAACAATGAAAATTGAGTAGAGATGAACCTCGACAACGAATCCAAGTGAAATTTTCTGCTTGATTATCATTTATCATGAAATATAAGAATTGTGAAATTGATACATGATAAATATCTTTTGATGTTTTTAAAACGATTTCAGTTTTAAATGTTTCATCAGACTTAATAATTAAAGATTGTTGAAGTTGTACTGATAGTTCTGATGAAATTGATAACCATTGATCTTGAGAAAATGGTTTATATTCCCAAATACAATCGATAACTTCTATATTTTGTTTAATTTCTTCAAGAATTGTTTTATTTGGTAGTTTATCTAATTTTTTTGAATAACCAAATAAAAGAAAATCATCAAAAAATTTGTGAATATTTTTATTGAATTGTCCATTTTGAATTGGAGTTTCATCTATATTATTTAATATAAAATAATCAGCTCCATTTTCTATTAAATATTTTACAATTTGTAAATGTCCATAAAAACAAGCAACATGTAATGGCGTTGAACCTGTAGATGCTTTTAATTTTGATTCTTCACTTTTTTCAGAATAATCTTCATTTTTTACATTAACTGAACAGTTACTTGTTTCAATAAGATATTTAACTAAATCAAAATGATTATTTCTTGCTGCAGAATATAAAAGTGTTGTTCCATAAAGACCACATTTATTTATTAATGTTGGATATTTTCTAATAAAATCTTCTATAAATGATAGATCTCCATTCCATGCTGCTTGACAAGCATCAAGTAAAGATAATCTACCTTGAAGATTATGTACAAATGGTTGTAATATTTCTTTTGTAAATTCAATTGTAAATATTTTTTCTTCAATATTATAATTATATTGATTTAATATATTGAAAAGATAATTTCGACATTGAGAAGATAAAGATGAAAGATTACAATCTAATAGATTTATTATTGTTATTTGAAGATTATTTAATATATGTTTTTCATTTGATTGATTTGTTTGTCGTTCAAGTATATTGATTGTATTTGAAACAACAGTAATCAATAATTGTAAGCATTGTTTTAAATTTTTTTTATCAATATCTTGATTGGCCATATGATCAAA